TTATATATGTAAATATATATATATATATTATTTTATTTTTTTATTTTTTTATGTATATTTTATGTATATCAAATACCACAAAGTGTGTTGGAAAACCAAGCTAAAAGGATGATTTTAATAAGAAGAAAAATAAAGAAAAATTGATCAAAAACCGAGCATCTCCCTCTGAAACAACACCAGGAGTGTTTGGGGATGTTTTGTCGGTAGAAAACGCAGCAAAGGGGTCAATTTTAGACCCATTAGCCCAGTGCTGTTTATTGAACTCACTCTGAAGTTCAATACATGGGAAAAAACACAATTTCTTCATAGATTTTAGAGAAAAAAATTACCTGGTTATTACATACATACCAAACTTGTTTTTTTATCAAGTTGCAATATTTTTACCACTGAAGAGAAAATATTCTCCTCACACAGTAAAGTGCGTTGGGATCTTTTTTTTTTCTCAGAAATATCGATGTCGGGTCCATGAACCCGATTTTTGAAAGAAAATCAAGAAAGCTATCATGAAATGAGCTGCGGGCCTGAGTTGTAAGAGTATGGGGGGAAAGCGCTCCATCAAAAGAAAGGTCGGAGTTTAGAGCCGCCGCTTTTCAGCACTTTTTTTAATCAAATCGTAGCCGTCGGCGGAGTTTAATGATGTAATGCGTATCAGGTAGAGAAGCATTTAGAATACAGAAACAGGGGGAGAGGGCTGGGCTATCCTCCTGCCTGTTAAAGAACTTAAAGGAGACATATCATACCCTATTCAACAAGTTAACCTGGTTCCCTGGTGTCCTAATGTAATGTCTGTGACAAGCTTTGGTCAAAATCCCATAAGGATGAAGCCCAATAGCAGTTCAGTCCCCCTGCCAAAACAGCCCCGTTCAGAGCGCTCGCTTTGGAGTGCCTGTCTCTTTAAATGCAAATGAGACACAGGCAATCCACCCACTTCTTCAGGGAGGTGTGCCCACGCCATTTTTTTCACACTTTGCCTGCTGATAGGCCCTCCACAGTCCCAAATGTACATAATCAAATTATTAAAAACTTGGTTTCGCATAATATGTCCCCTTTAACCCTATAATGCCAAATGTATCATATTTGATAGATATGGTTTTTGCATCATTAAGTGGTAAAAGCTCAGATATACCTGATAACAGCCAGTAGAGGACTACACCAAAATATATTTTTGACTTATTGAACGCTAAATTGATCCAAATAATTTCAGTTTTTTTTTCTTCATATGTTGTTGAGGAGCTAAAGAAAGACTTCAGACTAAAAAAATCCAATATTCTTCCTATTTTTCTTGGATCAGGCTTTAAAGGGGTTAAAGAAGCTAAAGAAACCCGGTTTCTGTGTGAGCTTTATGTTTATGCATTTTGCAGAAGCTTTTATCCAAAGCGACTTACAGAGTAGACACAATATTACATTTATCATCACTAAGACAATAACCTATACAGAGGAGAAACTTTCTTCTTTCTTCTTCTTCTCCTCCCACTCCAGGTCTGCGATGACGTGGACGAGTGCAAAGGGCCGGACAACGGAGGCTGTGCGGCCAACTCCATCTGTCACAACTCTGTGGTGAGTTTGCCGTCTAATCCGGGGGGGGCTAATTCAATCAATCAATCAATCAATCAATCAATCAATCAATCAATCAATCAATCAATCAATCAATCAATCAATCAATCAATCAATCAATCAGTGTTTATTTATATAGCACTTTACAACAACCGGAGCTGATCAAAGTGCATTACAGAATAAAAACAGATCAAACTATCGAACAAGACAAAATAATATACAAAGACAAACACATTGGTGACAGAACCCAGTATACAGAGATTTTACGTGCAAAAAGCCATCCTGAACAAATACGTTTAAAGTTGAGCTTTGAACAGTGGCAGGTCAGTAAATGAACGTAACTCAGTGGGCAGAGAGTTCCACAGTTTAGGCCCTGCCACTGCAAAGGAGCGGTCACCCCACTGCTTGCACCTGGACCGGGGGACCTCCAGCAGATGTTGACCAGCAGACCGAAGTGGTCTGCTGGGCTGGTGAAACCTCAGAATTTCACTTATATACAAAGGCGCTAGGCCTTTTCTAATTCTCTATGGCCGCTCCGGGACGGCCATATAAAACCCCTCCCCCCCCCCTCCCCCCCCATAGGGCTCCTACCACTGCGGCAGCTGCAAGTCGGGGTTCTCGGGGGACCAGGTGAAGGGCTGTAAGCCGGAGATTAGCTGTGGAAACAGCCTGACCAACCCCTGCGACGTCAACGCCCAGTGCAACCTGGAGAGGGACGGCTCCATCACCTGTCAGGTAAGAAACCCCCCCCCACCCCTCACAGACTACCCTACAGACCCCCCACC